GGATTCTCGGAGGTGGCGGGGGTTGCTATGCAGAAACCGCCGTTGACTCGCTCCTGCGGCCGCCCTGTCCTCCTCGTTATCGTGATTGAGTCAAACCTTGATGCCCGAGACCACGTCGAAAAATCTGGGCTGCCCGGGGCAAGGCCCGTCCGCTGGCGGCTTCTAGGCGAGTCTAGAACGCGGGCGCCAAGTTGATTCACGTATCGCGGCCATGGCGGGCCTGGTGGTGAAATGCACGTAGCAGTGGGCATCCCAACTGACCGACGTTTTGACTCCGTCGTCGTCGTCGTCGTGTACGTCTTTTCGTCCGGCCCTGCGTCTCTATCCCTCCTTCTCTCTCTCCCTCCCTCTCTCTCTCTCTCAGAAGGTTTAGCGCGTCCTGCACGCCAATGTCGTGGCCAAGCCGGTCTTGGATTGAGTCGCTAGCACTAATCAGGGTGGCCCGGCGAGTCGTCCTTGACGAAGAGCCCGGACATCCTGACACGCCCTCCTGTTCGGAGGGTGAGACTGCCTATCGGAGTGGCAGGATCTTATGGCATGGGAATGATCTGCCGTTGAATTTCTGTCTGTTTCTACCATCTTCGCACTCACCGAAATTTCCTTCACGCAGACCTCCTGCAGACCGGTTTCGCAGTTTAGACAGGCCAAATCCGCATCGAGAAGCCTTTGCATACACCAGTGGCGAATTGTGGCGGGCGGGTTTGAGACATGAGTACGACATATCTCCAACCCTGAGAGGAAGATGCATCTCGGCCGAGAATTACGGGCCAATGCGGCGACTCAAGAGCGGTGGTCAGGGCCGGTTAAACATTAGCAGGTGAGGAGCCCCGTAAAATGCCCGCCACGGGTAAACAATCAGCATAAATGAAAGAGACAAAAAAAGCAACTCGGGGATGGGGCAGCCGTTTCCCCCTCTCAAACTGCTGAACACGCAGATGATGTGAGATACGTGATACTTCAGACCAATTTCAACTTCATCAGTCACCCGCGGATGAAGCAGAGCCGATTTTGCTCCCAACACACATGCAGGTGACTAAATACCTGCCTATCAAGTAACCTATGGTACTGCAGTGATAGCTGTGTAAGTGAGCGCGAGGAAGATGAAAGATCAGGCAAGCGTAGATCTTGGCCATATTGATAATCTGCGGTGACCTTCCAATCTCGTCGAGATTCTTGGCACCAATTATATGTTACAACATTGAAGTACGTCCGCATGATAACATCCCACGACGACGCCGTAAGCGGAAAATCGGGCCCTCGCAGTCATTGCGACCGAGCCCAGCTACGATTTTATTCGCGGGGCTTTGCACGAAGCCATCTCAACGCGGACAAGATATGCGTCCCCGGACACGCGGTGGCGGATTCGCTTCCGGGATCGTTCACGTTTCTTGTGTGCAGAGCGGCCGGCTCCGCAACTGGGCGCAGGTCTGGAACCCTGCTCGCCATCTATCCAAGTGAGCGGCCCCGAGTCCTTCAATCAGGCCCGTGTAAGCTGACAAGGTCTCATCTTCAGCTTGTGAGCCTTGTATGCGGGTGTTGGGCCCGGAGGTTGGGGGAGGGGGAGAAGTGAAGAGGGCTCGGGATGACGGGTGGGGATGCGCTTCCCAGGCACCAGTTGACAGTCGGGGGCCTGAGGTGTGAGGCAATGGTGATGCTAGATCAACCATAGGCAAGGAATATGGCCCATTCTTGCCCGTGTGTTCTCCATCCTGTGGCAGGTGAAGTGCTGGTTACCCTGTCTTCGGGTCACAGAGTGAAGAGTGGGAGCCCCGGACTTGGCCAATTCGACCATCTGTCGCGGCCTGGACAGCCTGCAGGGTTCCTGTAGCAGAACACTCACTGTCAATGCTCGATTGGCGTTTCCAAACAGGCCCCGATTCCCTCGATATTGTGAGTCTTCATAGTGAGCATCCGACACTGGAGGAATTGTTTCGCGTCAAGGTTAAGCAGAACCATGTAAGTTCAACTGACAATACCGAAACTTACCTACGGGTAGGAAACGTTCACTTTATATCGGAAATCTACACCAACCGCACCGACCCTCTTCGCCTTGCGCCGACCCCTTGTCTAGAAGGAATATGTTTGAACCGGTTTTGGATGCGACTCGGGACGCTCGGCATTCCTTGCCAGTGCTACACAAATACAGGTATTTCGCTCTCATTCTTAACAGCCAAGCAACAGGCATGAAGTCACAGCGTTCACTAATTCATTCTAGCTATACAATTTGCACGACAGGCTGTTCGCAGGTGGCATTTCCGCGAGATCCGGATATCACATTACGCAACTAGAGCTAGTTTCCAAGTCTAGGCCGGGGTGAAAGAGTGGCGGCATCATCAATGTCAATGAATTGGAGTCGCTCGGCGGCTGCACGTGAATTGGGGCTGTCACAAGTTGGTGGAACAGACTAATGCAACCCGGAAACACAATGGGAACACAACCATTCTGCCTGGGCAGGAGGACCTAATTCTTGACCAGGCGGTCCCTGATGCCCTCCGAGGGTGGTATGAGTTAGTTAGACCTTCTATGACGTGGCATCAGAAGCCATGAACAAACCGTACTCTGACCGGTCGCGCCAACGTGAAGAGAACAACTAAGACCAAAACTACCCCCAAGATGGATATGAGGTCAAAACCGCCGCCGGCCTAGTCGTGGACCCGGCCGAGAACCCCGCATAATACGCCGGCGGCGGCCAAGAGGGTGTGCTCGACCTTGGAACCAGCAAGATGTTCAGGCCCCGGCCCTGGCCTACGGCTACGTCGTCTACATGACGCGGCGGCCAGCTCCGGGGGGAGCTCATACTAGAGCCGACGGTGACCTCGGTCGCCGAGCCCACCGCCGTGTTAGATGAGACGAACGGGTGGGCATATTTTCAACACGAAACGGGAAGATACTTTCTGCCCAACGCCGCGGTGCGTACCAACATGTTACAAGCTCATGATACCCATACGTCCAATGCTGTATACGGTCTCTTCATACAGTGACAAGTCATACATGTATACTACGGCGAAATCCGCGGGTCCGGCCGCCGCTAGTTGGAACTTTGGGCGCAGGCCCAGCGAGACCGACTCGACGTCTAGCACATGGCCTTCACCATATACCTGGGTGGAGCGCTCTACCGTGGCCCCATGGGGCGCCCAGGGCATGCCCAGGTGTTCTTGACACACCTAAGGTAGCCACGGGGACGGGGATATGGGCCAACAAGTTTGACCCAACAATATCCCCCATCGACAGTGAGTAGGGACTGTCCTGAGCATGATTCAACCTGCTTCGTATCCCTATATATCACGGCCTCTCCGAGACCCGTGACCTCGGAGATCTTTTTCCATTATGGCAGAGATTGTCGGCGGGTGATGGGACTTGACCAGGCTGTCGTTGGCGTTACCACTGACCAGGTCCTAAATAAACTCGACGTCGTGTCAAGAGGTGCAATTCTTCAAAAGAAAACTCGGAGCACTCCGAATGAACCCACCCTCGCCCGCTCGACGACGCCCGCCGGCGCCTCGCGGTCAGCTGCCTCGACGATCACCGTGTGGTCATCCGCAAGTCGTTGGACAGACAGCCTGAGGCCGGGAGGGTGGATCGACCCCGTCCACGGTGCCCTGGGCGACCCACGACAACGCCCCCTTCTCGGGACTCATGTGGGAAAAGCTGAACCGCACGATTCTCGGGGCCGGGCTGGCTCGCTCTCGGGCGTGACCTCGCGGAAACCGCTTAATTACAAGCAGTGGCTTATCGGGGCTGTGGCTTCTGCGGACAGACATGGGCGAGGAGGTCGGGCCCCGGTAGGCTCAGCTATAATTATCAGCCTAAATTCTAGTTAGCGGCCAATTCAAGTTTCGACTGACTCGTGGGTTGTACATAGATAATCCATGGCCTACTGGGCCACGATGGCAGGAACTTGGCCACTGGCTGATGACAAACACGCATCGGGCCCTCCGGGCGAGGTGCTGGGATGCTGAGGAACCACGACAATCGGGGGCGGACGAGGTGGGGGAGTTGCTCCGCCTGGCAAGCATTGATGTCTGCGACACCAGCATACATTACTAGTAATAAGATCCGATGTCAGTAGCGCTACGCAGTACTGTGGTGACCTCCAGGGGCGAGGGCGATCGTTTTTCCAGGGGCCCACTTTACTTACTAGAATCTCTAGTCACGTCGTCTATGGCCGCAAACCTCTGGCGTGAGGACCAGAGGACTTGACCTGCAGAGAAAGACGGACACGGCGGCCCTCTGTGGCACGATTGGCCTTTTTCTACATGTGCACAATTCCTAGCTCGATTTAACAAGATGATGATGTATCAGCAAAGTCTGGTTTCCGACTAACTATGATTTACTGCTTGGATATTTGGAACCAGGGCCGCGGTACGCTACTAGTTGTATCCATATACACGGTACGGTGTTTCCACCGGCTGGTGGGTTCCTCTCTGCCCAGTCATTGGCACCGGTGTAAAACTTGGTCAAGTACTGTCCACTGACTACTCCGTAGACCACCACTGGTCAACCCGGAAAGCCCCGACATCAAACGTGTCGTTCAACATGTGAAAATTCTTCAAACGTTAGGAGGATCATGAGTCTCATGCTTAATTTTGGTATTCAGAAAACACACAGATGAGGGCTGTCTCACAGGATGCACTTGTTGTTCTCCGGGGATTAAACAAGTGAATATCATATCCAGCTTATAAATGCTAGTAGATAGATAGGTACGTACCTTGGTACTCGAGTGAATATGTACCTAGGAACCTATGACGGAATATGACCAAGACAGACCAGACAGGTGCAAGCGTTCAACCCTTGGTCACTTGTGATCTGTATCACGTATTCTCCCCGACATTCAATGGAAATTCCATGGAAGTCGGGGACTAATGCTGAATCCTGAGGCAGTCGTAAATACCCATCAATTGCCATATGCGTGCCGTCATACCGTCATACCGCAGCTGATAGACTGATAGCACGCACGTGGGGCAGCCCCACCCCAGCACTTGAGCTGTCAGCTACTCCAACTTTGAACTCCGCGGAGATGATATCTCGACAAACTTCGATACGACCCGAAAGCGCAGACCGACAACTCCTCCTCCCAGCCCACCCGTCGCACAACATGTCGTCACTCCTCGAGACAGTCTCGCTCGAACACGTGCCATCCACCCACAGCGTCCACGTCGCCTTCTTCAAGGGCGTCGCCAACGCGGGCCACCTCCAGTCGCAGCTCCTGGCGCGCAACCCCGACTTCGAGTACGCCTTCATCGACGCCTCCGCCGTCGTCTCCCGCCTGCACGTCCTCGCCGCCGCCTACAAGGCCCTCTCCGTGCTCCTGGACGGGAGGCTGAAGTCGCCCAACGTCCACGCAGAGACCGTGCTCGCCCTCAGCGCCACCAACAACGTGAGTCTTGGCTGCCAAACAGCTCGACAAAGGTTCCCTCCCCCCCTCCATGGATGGGCCTTGCTGATGGTCCTTCTTCGCCTTCGCACAGATCTCAGAAGCCTACCGCCGCTACGGCATCTCCCCCGACGTCAAGGACATCATCATCGTCAAGGTCCTCTTCCCCACCGACGACAGGCCCCGGCCGCCCACCGCCGACGACGTCTGGAAGCACCTCTCGGAGAGCGTCGAGGGCACCCCCGTGCCGTTTTCCGACGACGAGATCGCCCGGTCCACCGACTGGCCCAAGGTCAACAAATACTACAAGCTGAATGGCGCCCCGGCCCTGAGGAACATCAAGGACGACAAGGAGCGGCTGCGGGAGACGGAGATGCTCGTCATCAGCTCCATGGCCCTGCGCGGGGTGTAGCGGTATCGTGTTGCGCTGTGTTGACCGCATGAGACATACCAGCCGCGTTCTGCCGCTACTGAGGAGCTGTACCACCCTGCCAGAGAGGCCAGCGAGGCTCCTGTCTGCCTGACCTGCCCGTCCAATGACCTGTCTGCGCCCAAGGCCCCAACCAAACAAGGGGGCGCGTGATTATCCTCGGCCTAAGGGTCATGCCGCACGACCACTTCGCTGCTGAGAAACTCCACGAGTATATCCTGCGATTTCTGCGAAGGAGATGCCACGGCCTGGGCCAATGGTCTGCTGCGACTGAGGAAGGCCAGCATGGAAGTAGCCCGCCCACGCTAGAGGAGCATTTGGTTAAGCTCGGTCCCAGTGTTAAGAAACCTCTCACAGGGACGCCTTCCCGCCGGGTCGGCGACCGCCGCTCTTATGATGGGGAGTTATGTCTGCTCGCTAGAACTTGGGTCTGTCTCACTGGCAGTTGGATGTCCCACGAACGGTCGAGGCGACGACTCGTGGCTAGTGACGCATAACCTTAAATGGCCTGGCACGCTGGGCCAGGCTACCTTCCGTCAACATGCATGTGCTGATGCTCTGGGTCGGCCTTCGGGGGGGAACTCTAGGGTGCCAAGGAGGTCAATGTTGATGCGATGAACGGCGAGGCGACCGTGCCTCCAGCGGTGCCAGATTTGTCTTCGCCTGCTGCAGTACACGTTTACCAGCCCACGTGGTCTACGGCCTCAACGTCTAGGGTGTCCCGAGAAGATTCTGGGTGGTTCGCACAAAACGAACACAGTACCAACTTGTTCGCCTGCGAGGCCTACCAGACGATCGATGACTAGGTGTTCTGCCTGAAAGGACGGCAACCACGTGCAAGCCCGGGTTGTCTCAAACAAAGCCTGCCGTCTCGCCCAGGACACATGTCTACAATGTCCGCGGGCTTACAATTCTGGGCATTGATGTTGTGTCGGATTAAAAAAATATATCGTTAATCATTTAATCCTCATCCTTCCCCCTGATGCTAAAGTGAGGGGCGCGATCATATGCCGCATGCCCGATCATGTTCTGCTCCTCCATGTTCCTTCCAGCCCGTGCCGACCTCACTCCTCAGACAAATCAGACTCCTCCCCGCCCCTTGCGCCCCCATCAGCCTGGTTGAAGTGGCGGTGGTGAAGGGCAACAGTATAAAACTCAGGCTCGTCCTCCTTGGACCCGCAGAAGTACTTGCGGCACAGATACCGCACGTACCCAAGCTGGAAGGTGACGAACCTGTGCTTGGGCACGGCGAAGACCATGGACAGGTCCTCGAGGCTGAACCCCTTGGTCTCCTCGACCAGGAGGAACACCAGCACAAAAGCCACCAGGTTGAGGCCGGAGAAGAGCACCAGGCCGCCCCAGTGCTTTAATGCCGGGTCCAGCATCGGGTACAGGAGGGTCAGAATGCCGGCGAAGAAGAGATTTACCGCGATGGCGACGGAGCAGCCCTGTGTCCACCAGTTATTAGTTCTTGTGAGCCTGCGGGGCTATGTGGGGGGGTGTAAATCGCATACCGCTTCACGCTGTGCCAGGGGGAAACTCTCGGATGCCAGCGTGAATGGGATGGGTCCCAGGCTGGGCGAGTAGACGGCGGCGAATACTACGTGGACATGGAAAAAGGTCAGCGGGACTGTGTGGCCTCCGCAACAAACTTGGGTTCCGCCCTGAGGCGGAGTGGGTGGGGGGGCGGGCGCACGATAAATGAATACCACGGTGGGCACGAGGAGGTCGTCGTTGATGAAGAACATGGCAGCCACGGCGAGGCAGAGACTCATCAGAGGCAGCGTGGTCAGCATCAGTTTCCTCCGGCCCCACGTGTCGATGCGCCTGATGGCCAGAAGGCAGAAGACAAAGTTCACAGCTCCTGTATACGGACCGTCAGAAATGGCCCGAGGGGGGCGTCCTGCCCGGGGGATGTAGCATACCAAAGCCAGTGCTGAAGCCCATGGCGTCTAGTTTGTCGCCGACAGAGTTGAGGAAGAAGGTATCTGGTATCTGTCAGGATCGAATGGACGACGTGGCCGGGGTATACGTACTCGAATAGAAGGCGAAGATGTTGACTGGGGGTTTTGGTTCCACATTAGCACCAGGACCAATTTGGTATCTAGTCGGCTTACAATGGGACTACATACTGCCGCACAGCTGCTGAGACAATGCCACCACACACGTGCTCAACACGGCGTTTCTCAGCTTGATCTCCTTGAACAGGAGGGCGTACTGCCTGGAGCAGTAGGTGACCGCCATCCCGAAATGGCTCGCATACGTAAGCCCGGACTTTGCGTGCGACATGCCGGCGTTTTCGATCTCGGGCGCGTTGGGGCGGTACTCATCCAGCTCCACCGACTTGTGGATGAGGTAGAGGTCCCGGAGGGCTTGGAGCTGTCAGATCAGGTGTCAGGACCGTTGCTCATCTTCGGATTGTCTGAGATCCAGCGCAGGAGTTCAAGATTCATTACCTTTGTCTGCCGCGCCTTGAGAAGAATGTCGTAGGCCCGGGAGGGGTTGCGGTGTGGCGTGTTCGGCTGCATGTAGTACCGCGGGCTTTCCATACACCAGCCCAGGGCGACCAGGAGGAGGACTGCGGGTATGAATGGTGCGCCTAGTATTTCTCTCAGTGCTTTTATCTGATTGTCCGCCGAAGCGTCGTTTTGAGTGGCTTTGTTCCAGGCCGCGATGCCCAGGTTTATTGCGGAGCCGATTCCTATTCCGAACGCGACCCTGTGTGTGATGGATAGCAGTTAGCAGCCTCGCTCTGGCAGCACTGGGGGATCGATCCCATATGAAGCTAGTAGACGACTGACCATAATTGCCACATGAGCGTAGAGGAGCCACGCCATTGGGTGAAGGCGATCTCGCCAGCTAGAATAGGGGTACTAACGGCTTTGATACCCATGCCTGCAGTCTCACGTGTCAATGACTGGTTATGGTGTTATGTGAAATCACACAGGCGCCTTTCTTTTTCCTTCTCGAGGAACTTACCAACACCATTCACGATCCTGACACACAACAGCTGCCACCACGAAGTCACATACGCAGAGCCAAGCGAGCTGGCCAGAATCATCACGGCGGCGACGGTGATGGCCCCGCGGCGGCCGACCCAAAAGTTGAGCAGCAGGGACGACGGCGCGCCGACGACGGCAGCCGCGAAAAACGGGCTCGAGTTGGCGGCGCCGAGCTTCCACTGCCAGGGCAGGTCGTCCGGGGGCGGCGGTCCGGAGCAGGAGCCGGGCCCGGGCGAGAGGCACTCGAGCCACTGGGCGTAGAGGCTCGCGCAGTTGAAGGACGCCTGCACGTGGCCCTGCAGGAAGGCCGCGCAGCCGACCGTCAGCACGACGGGGAAGATCTTGCGGAACTGGCCCCGCAGCTCGTCGTGCTCCGACACGAGGCCCTTCTTCTCGTGCTCCCCCAGCGTCACGAGCAGGTTCGTCTGCGTGGCCGAGTTGCGCGCGACCTGGTCGTACGTGCGGATGTCCTTTGCGACGCGCGCGGCGCGCAGGACGTCCTCGTACGAGACATCCGGGAGGTGCTTTGAGAACTCCTTGACGTCTGCCTGGAGCTCCTTGTCGCTCAGGTGGACTGGTTCATGTGTTCGTTAGTACCAAGTGGGACAATTATGATTACCACAAGAGGAAAACCCGCCTCTCCATGGCCATTGGTGTACAACATAACATACCAAGAGGCCCCTCGATCAGGGCTCGGTCGTTCAAATTACGGTGCTCAACCTGCGCGCGGAACCTGTCGAAGAGGCTCAAGGTCGACTTCTCTGCCATGGTGGCGGTTTGACAAACAATTGCTACGCCGCAGGAGCCGCAGAATCTTTCGAAGAGGGTTGCAGGGTTTCATCAGATCGAGTTCGCGAACGCCTTAGCGTGAACTGGGTCCAGCATTCCCAGTGTGGTGCTCTATATGTGATGGAGGAATATGTGAGATACTACCGATCGACTGCAGAACATGACACGCTACTTGTCATATAATCCTTCTTACATATAAGAGGCCCGCCGAGAAAAAGAGGGGGGCACTGCTAACGCCACGAGGCTGTTCCCTCAAGTTGGGCATATTTGGGGGCGTATTTCAAGCTGTCCTCGGCTACCATCGAAGATTATTACCACAGCACAATCGCGATCGACCTCTCCTCAGCTGAATATGCAGGCTGGCTGGCAGGTCGCTTAGTCCTCCGCCGGTGACACAGCCAGGGATATACGCCCAGGTACAGCGCAACCAGTGGAGGTTTTCAGCTCTTGGCAGATTACCGCCCGCATGGCATGGCTAACGGATAGCCATCAGTAGCGCTGTGCAACCATCTCGCACCCCCACGACGTACTACAACATGATATAGTGAGTACCAAAAGGCACCTACCTCAGTTGCGAAGATGTCTCAGCTTCGAGGAGAGGATACGCGCCTGGGAAGTCGTCACGCAATCATGCACTTCTGCTTGACTTTCATGACGTTGGTTGAAGGATTCCGAGGTTTCATTGATGAAATCACAGGACTTGCTTCGAAGCAGGCTCCAGCCACAATTCACCCCCTGCTCGAACATATGCAGGATATGTGTGTAGTCTCTTTCCCCGCGAGCCTAATGCGGCTCTAGCATCATGTGGGTGTTGGGCTTGTATGGGGAGCCTGCAGCTCTCCGGGGCCCCATCATTGATGGGTTGGAGGCCCCCTGGATGGTGGATGGTGTGAACCCCGCCCCTCCGCACAGAATATTGAGGCTGATGGAAGAAGGAGTCATGGTCATATATTGTCGGGGACCGAGTCTGCTCACCTCACCCCGACATCCCAGCCCCCTGTCTCAGGAGCACGCGACGTTCGAACAGCACTGGCACCTTGCAGCCCTACTTCTGTGGGGCAGTGCCTGAAGACAAGACGAACTATAGGCACTGCGGAGTGTCCAGGGGTCTTCTGACTTATCCCTCTGCCCTATATTAGTAAAGGCATCCAACTACCCTATTCGTTCGAAGCACGGCGGAACCTTGGGAGTGGCTTGTGCCCTGCCTCCTCCTAACATTGTACCACGTGAGAGAACCACGATAGCCGAAGGGCTAGGCTGCCGGCCTGTCCTGCATATGCTTGTACAACGCTTCTTCCTGCAGTCCAAGTACGGGCTCAGCCACGCGTCTATCGGTGGCAAAGCAGGGCTGCAGAAGCCATCAGGCAGGCATGCTATAGTCTGGATAGTATGACGCAGTTCCGCGTTGACCAGCAATCTATCTACCTATCACTGGGTTCAATCATCGTCTCGCGTGCTCGAGCCTTTACTCCCTCCCGTTCCGCGCCTGCTCTCCGTCCCGCGTTTCTTCCCTCCTGGCAGCCTGTGTCTCCACGGAACGGCCCACCTGCGCGCGGCCAAGGATCGGCACCAACGCGAATGGCATTTCCCGGGAGCATCTCCTATTGCACGCTTCCGGTTTGATTCTCTCAGCGCTGAACCTACTACGACGTTGCCGACACTGCGACTACTGCGGAACTTGCCGCAACTCTGAGACACCCCCAGCCTGGCGGAACGGCCGCCGGGAGAAGACCAATCCACTGGACCATATCGATCAGATGAGCCAGCATGTCAGGCCCGCTGGAAGTCATTGGCGCGGTCTCTGCAGTTGTGCAGCTCATCGGGGGGGTCTCCTCCGGGCTTCGGACGCTGCGAGATGCCGTCGTGGCCATCAAGGACGCACCCAGAGCCGTTCAACGGCTGGAGGAGAAGATACAGAACCTAGGACACTGTTTTCGAATGCTTGAGAGATATTTTGAGTCCAGACCGTCCAGGATACCATTCGAGACACAGCTGTATGAGCTCATCCAAGAGATCGCTGCCAGCTGCACCGCGCCACTGATGGTTCTCAAGGAGAAAATACCAACCCGGTCCCAGCTATCAAAGAAACATATAACAGCGGCGTTCGACCTCTGGCTCAACAATAGCGCAATCACACAGGCCAAAACCCAGATCAACGAGTCCATTCCGTACCTGAACCTTCTACTCCAGACTTTGAACCTGTAAGTCCCGCCCTTTAGGGGATTCGACGCCCTCAGCTGACACCAGGCAAGTTTCAAAGCCGACCAGGCCGACGATCTGCTGCGCCAAATCGCAGCCAGCCTGAACCAGACTGCGCAGCCGCAGCACCCGATACCACATCCAATAGCAGATCAAAATGCAGCGTTGTACGAGTTCAATAGTCATACCCTGGAGACGACATTGAGAGGGATCAGGACATTTGCCAACGATGCTACTGCTTTTTACGTACAGTCCGAGAGGACAACGGCCACATCATCCAGGTACATCGGGACTTTACGGCCTGGAGATACACCTACGGTGAGCAGCACAGTACAATCACCAACATTTACGAAGGCGAGGCGACAACTTGAGTTTGAGTGGGAACAGAACAGAAAAGACGTGGAACGCCATGAAGGCTACGGCCTCTACGAGAATGCAGAAAAGATCCAGCGGCGAGCTCTGTCAATCAAGGAGGAGTTAAGCAACCAGCACGGAGTCCCATTCTCGCTGGAAGAACGAGAGGAGATGGAAGAGAAACTAGCCGACATCCTCATCGAATGCAAGACTGAGGGCTCTACAGAGAAAGCAATCTCTCTCATTGAGAAAATTATCGGGGAGAGCCCCAGAGACAGGGAAACAGACAACAGTGACAACCTGCTCACCTCACCAGGGTCGCCAACATCCGACGACAAGAAATTGAGCCTGCATTACAAGCTAGGGCGGCTATACAAGTCGACCGGGCAGATGGACCTTGCCGAGAAGGAGTTGAGGACGGCCTTCAACGCCTACGCCGAGGAGTGCCCCCAAGACACGGCAAAGATACGCGAGGCGGGGGAAGAGCTCCTGGAACTGTACGACATCCGGGTCGAGTTCGGCGACAGGGAGCACCGGCCCGTGTTCCTGTCGCAGCTGCACGGGTTCAAGCAGGAACTCCAGTCCCTGACGGGGCGGCCCCTCGAGCACCGCCAGACGACGTGCGACAGGGCCCTCGCGTGGTGCGACGAGAAGGGCATCGCCGTGGCCCGGGAGAACGACCAGCCGCGGTTCGACCTCCTCGGCGAGGACAACTCGTCACCGCTGCACCACGCCGCGGAATCCTGCACGGACGAGCTGGCGCTGCAGCAGATGATGGAGAACTCGGACACGCTCGAGAGCCGCGACGGCCACGGCGACACGCCGCTGCTCGCCGCCGTGGGCGCGTCCAACACGGCGGCGCTCGGGATCCTCCTCCAGAAGGGCGCCAGCGCCAGCGCCCGCGACAGCCAGGGCCAGACGGCCCTGCACAGGAGCCAGAAGCCCGCCGTGACCAAGTTCCTGCTGCACCACCGGCTGCGGCGCGCCAGCACCATGACCTCGGGCCTGTTCGACGACGCCGCGGCGGCGGCGGCGGTGGCGAGGCGGTTCTCGTCCAGCTCCTCCTCGGCCTCGACCTTGACGACCTCGCCGCCCGGCTCGGTCTCAGACGACGGCGGCCTCGACATCAACGCCCAGGACGCCACGCGCAAGACGGCGCTCTACCTGGCCTGCTGGCAGGGCCGCGCCAGGATCGTGAGCCTCCTGCTCCTCGCGGGCGCGGACCCCAACATCGCGGCGCACGGGGACACGCCCCTCAGCATCACGGTCGAGTCGCAGGCGCGCGCGTACGCCCGCGACCCGGGGAGGAAGGTCGACATCGTCGCCGCGCTGGTGGCGAGGGGCGCCGACCCGGGGCCCGGGAGGCGCCGCCTCCTCCCCGCCGCCGGGGGCCCGGGCCCGCGCGGCATGCAGAGGGAGATCCTGAGGGCGCTCGAGGGCGGCCGCGCGGGGGCCGCGGCCCAGGCCCAGCTGCTCCTCCAGCCCTCCCTGGTGTCTGAGACGTGGACGGCGGCGGCGGCGCCCGAGGGTGGCGGTGCGCCTTCGCCCCCTCGGAGGGACAGCGGGTACCAGCCGTCGCTGTCGTCGTCGTCTGTCGCGAGCGGCAAGCCGCAGATCGAGCACCTTGACTTTGGGCCGGCTCTTCTGACGGAGGAGTTCAAGCCGGACTGAGCACATAATCGACACTGGATAATATCTTGTGCCCCGGATGTAGGTGGTGGGGGTATTTCACGTCACGAGATATAGGCCATCGCCCTTGACGATGCAACAGCCGCTCCTCAGAACCCGTGCTGGCTTTTGGGGTTACTCTGGGGTTAAAGCAGCACATTCATCCCACAGCGGGGGCTTGTCGATGTCGATATTCGCACAATGTTGCGGGTGAAGTTGTGCCCAGGGGTTCGGTCGCGCACGACCAATTTACCACAACCTTGGAAGCCTTCTGACCCTAGGCTCTATATACAACAGACTCGAGTGGAGGAGAGAGAGAGGAGGTTGGGATAGCAGAAGATCCCGGCTTTGAGCGAAAAGTCCAGGTGGTAGAGGGAGAAAGTCGCCTCGAGGTACGGGCTTGAAAGTTATCAAATAGCAGAAACCTCGGCCTGGCTTCTGGGGACGCGAGAATCCCTACACTGTAGGAGAAAGCGATGGGGAAGGCAGGTCGGCTACATTCTATGATGGGCGTGCGTGACTGGGCCGGTGCGTGTACATACATGTATTGCATGTTGATACAACCTCTGTGTTTTGCTTTTCGTTGTATTCTTTCCGAGGACAATACCCGAGCTTCCAGAGATATAGTTCTAGATCAAAACCATGGCGATGTACAGCAATGTGCCGGCGAAGGAATTAAAAAAAAAAAAAAAAAAAGAAAGTCTGAATCACGTAGGGATCAATGATGCAAGTGGCCATTCTACGCACGTGCAGAGTTTATCACGCTGCTGGGAATTCACTCAAATTTCCTCTGAATCGATAATATCAATTGATCATTCCGAATGATCAAGCAAGCAGGCTCCCGACGCTACACACAGAACCCATCGCCCAGACTCCCCGAACTCCATCCCGTTCCAGCTCAACTCCCGAACCGCCAGAATCCCAAAGATCGATGCAAGCCTCGCGGCAAGGGAATAAACCAACACCGTGACAACCACCAGCGGCGAGCCTCCTCAGGCAAGCCCAAACACCCCCCTCAGCCGCCTCCACACCTCCGCCCTCATGGCGTCCCGCCCGTCCCGCGTCCGCTGCACGGCGTCCTTGTTCTCCTGCGCCCGGCGGAGCAGGTACTTCATGCACTCGCCCGTGGAGCCCCACACGAGGTACTTGTACGCGCGCGGTGCCTTGCCCCGGTCCTGCCCCTGCCCCTGCCCCGCCGCCAGGATCCCGCACGACACCTCGTCCGCCATGCCCTGCAGCTGCGCGAACGCGACCTCCCCGCCGCCAGTTCCCGCCGCCGCCGCCGCCCGCGCCCTGCGCACCGACTCGGCATTGTGCGACGCCAGGACCATGTCCACGCGCGGGAAGGCCGCCCCCTTGTCCTCGGCCGTGGCGAACGGCGCCAGCGGCCCCGCCCACTCGCGCCGCAGCAGCGCCCCCGCGATGCCGTCGTAGCACGCGTCCGTGTCGGCCTTGGAGCCGTGGATCAGGTGGCGCGGGTCGCTGCCGAGGTACGCGCCGCGGACGAGCTTGACGCCGAGGGCGAACCCGCCCTCCGACGCGGCGCGCAGGTGCGCCGCCACCACGGCGGGGCTCGCCTTGAGGTAGGCCTGGTAGGTGCCGTGGATGACGGCCCCGCTGCTGGGGTTGGTGTTGTACTTGCGCATGTAGCGCAGCGTCCAGTCGTCGATGCCCGCCTGCACCGCCTGCTGCTCCGCGTCGAAGAGGAGCCTGACGCCGCGCGCCGCGGCGAGGGTGCAGATCTCGTCGATGGCGGCCGCGAGGGCCTCTGGTGGTGGGAGGCGCTGGGACAGGGACCAGAGGGCCTGGCGGCCTGCGCCTGTGAATCTTGGGTGAGGTTAGCGGGTGGGATCTCATTATTATTAACGGCCCGATGTGAACTTGTGAAAAGGACGCGTGGGGGAAGGGCAAGTACTTACTTCAAGGCAACGTAGTCACCCGGTTCGGCCAGGCGCACCGTCTCTAGCGTCCCCTTGGCCCACGGGGTGACCTCGTTCTGGACGCACTCCCTTGCGATCTCGTCGTCCATGCCGCGCGTCGACAGGGCCTCCAGCTGGCTCTGGCTCAGGACCACCTCCCTGGCATAGCCCAGGATGACACCCGAGTACCCAATCCCCCTGAGGCTAGCCATCGTGGCCTTGACCTCTGGCCCGGTCTCGCCCGCACAGAACTGGGCGTAGAACGTGTTCTTGATCAGCTGCTTCAGGAGCGGGTTTCGGTCGGGGTTCAGGACGGGGTTGGTGGTGTGCGCGAGCATGCTCATGATCGACAGCGAGGGGGGCAGGAGGACCGGCGATGACGACATGGTGGTCACCGCCAGGGAGCGCAGGATCGTGATCAAGGGGAGCACCGACAGGGGCGCCTTGGTGCCAGTCGCGGTTGGCGTCATGGTGGGCTCGAAGACTGGGCCTGGGATGGCTGTGGTGTCGAGGGCTGCACCTGCCTGGCGGCTGCTGCTGGATGAGTGGAGCGACCGCGAGGCTGATGGCGGCGTTTGCGCCGGTGTTGAGGTGGATGTGGAGGCATTGCGATTGAACTGTGGCTGGCGCAGCGGTCTGAATTTCAGGAGGGACGTCTCGATTCTGGAGGCGGGCCCAAACGCGCAGCCACGCAGTGAATGTGCAGGTACGATCGCCATTGTCCTTTCACGAGTCGTTGTGGTCAAAAGTGGCCGAACTGAAGCCATATCGGGTTGGGCTGCAGAAAGGGGGAAGTCGAGGCTCAAAGCAGGGTATCTGATAAGCAAAACACAGCTTGAAATTCGGTATAATGTGATGCACGCTTTCAAATAGAACGAGAAGCAGACAATGAGATAGAGAGAGAGCAAGAGAGAGGGGGAGAGAGCACACAGCTGTTAGGTTTTGATACACGAGACAAAGGCCAGTGTTTCCGTATCACGATGAACAAGGTGAAGCGGTCTGTCCAGAGGGATGGGATACTTGTATTTGACGGACATTGGGCCCAAGTCTTGGCCAGCCCAGCCTCGCCTCGCCTCACCCCAACCCCTCGATCACCGTCCGTCTATCTCCGGTGATCGCAATGACACAGGTGACCAAGCTCGTAAGTCTAAGTTGAGAACGGATCCCTGGGACCGAAGGCGAGGGATGGCCGACATCGTCAATGCCCGGTGCTATAGGGCCAGCCAACCACGTAAGGGCGAGACGGGCCAAGCTATCAATCAAGTGACTAGTCTATCTGCTGCACCGCCAGAGGCCGGAGCCCAGGAACGAGACAGCAGATGTGACGGCTTGGACGGTGCAGATTAGCCATTGTGCAATCAGAGGCTGGCGGGAAGTCTGAGACCAGCGGCCGGGCCAATCCCTCCAACTCCTTATCGCTGACCATCACGTGGGGAAGGCTCAAAAGGGTGGATAAACGCAGCCTGGGGGGAAAGCCGTGTCTAGCCGTCGCACTGGCCGGCTGGTGGCTCCCCAATGGTCGCTGTTGGAGAGGCATTGACAAATAGTGTAGATTCCTCGGACGGCCCCCTTTGTTTCCCCAACTCTCTGCGGGCCAATCTCAAAGTCGCAAATCTGGGGCCGAGAGAGACATAATTTCTGCCCAGACTGCCTGACTGCCCGACCGCCCGACAGACACTCAGTGGCAGCTGGAATGAGGACGCAGCTCGGTCATGTGGGCGTCACCCGGTCGAGCTTGTTGCTGTCTGAGCTTGTCGTCGAGATGGGCCTGCATGGAAGCGACATGCAGGCTGCAAGACAAGGCGAGGATGCGAGCCTGTTGCGTCGCAGCACTGATTCGGGCTGTCGGGGTCACCTTGGAAGCTCTTGGCCCTCCCATGCACTTCGGCTTTCTGTGGGTCTCCCAGAGATGCAATGCCGATTTTTGCGGGGCCCTTCGATGGCGGCTGCCATGGCCCGGATCGCTAGACTGGGTGCAGAGTCGTCCGGCCAGCCGGCCGAATGGCAGCCAACGGCTTAAGCACTTGGTGCCAGGCACCACGAACTGGCGTCCCAGCCAATCTGGTCGTTTCAGCATGGCGCGACTCGTCCCTGTCCTGGGTCCTGGGCCCACCACGGCGACCTTTGCGGTCTGCAGCGGCGTCAGTCTCTTGGTTTCGCTGGTCTTGAAGGCTGATTCAGAGCCAGGGCCCGGGCGTCCCCTCCGCCTGTCATCAAACCTTCAGCCTTGGAAAGCCGAGAGTAAATGTTGTCCATGTCCGAGATCGGTGGAGGTCATCATGATGTTGCTGCAGCACGTCAACAGCATCGCCCGCGTGACCCGCGTCTGACCAGTGATCAGATCCGCATCTTGTCGGCTGAAGGAGTCTTTTTATTCGAAGAAAAGACTGCGATGCTGGATGCAAAATGCGTCCTGCCTCGTGTGCGCGGGCATCTCACAGCTTCTGTTCCAGCCCGCTGCTCTGTCCGCGGACCCGTCTCTTGATCCAGTCAATGTAGCCAATGGGTCGACCTCGTGCTGCACCGGCAGCGTCTTGGAGTCCGCCAAAGACGAGCCCGACGGCAAGGGCGGTCTTGGTGGTTCGGGCGGTCATGGGGAGACTGAACCGATCTGCAGACGGCCCAGGTGGTTAGCAGAGCAGCTCATCCGCAGCATCGACAGAGGGGTAAGATGGTGCTGCGATACGTACTCCACAGGCTGAAACCGCCGGCGACAGTCAGGGAGGCCAGGACGGTGTTGACAAAGTCCTTGGACTCGCGATACTCGTCGTACATGTCCTCGACGACGAACATGGCGGTGGTCCAGAAGGACACCCTGAGGCCCATCTTGAGGCCCTCCTTGAGAGCGCCCCTGGCCATGACATAGTTCTTGCTCTTGTGGTACATGAACCAGCCGGTGGGCGTGGTGGGCAGCTTGTGCGCGTGCTCGGCTCGGAACTGCAGGCCGGCCATCTTGCTGCCCTGGGCCATGCCCAGAGACGTGCCGACGCCGAGGGATGACACGGCCGCAAGCAGTATTCTCGTAGGTGCCATCATGTTCAGGCGGCTGTTCTCGAGGGCGATCCGGCGGCGCTCCTGGTAGTCGACTGGCAGCCTGGCCATGAAGGCCTCGAGCTCCTCCTTCGTCTTTGGAGGGCGGCCCATATTGTTGCTGCTTCTCGAGCTTGCGCGGGTTGCAAGGTGCAGTCAAATTGCTGGGTATGGTCTCGGTCGAGCAGGACAGGCAGATTGAACCCTAGGGCAGGGCTATTATGGGGCGGGTTGAGGCTGTAGATGCAGAGGGATCACCAGAACGAGGGTGCATCTGAGGGGCTTCTGATTTCCTCTCTCTCCCAACCTGAACCGCAACTGTGAGGTACCTGGGTACCTGGGTACGGAGGTACATACATATTCTGAGAGCCCCACTAGATTTTCTGGGTGGCCCAAGCTCCTGCTGCCTGCGGTACGTACATCATGGCGGAAATCGCCCCGCCCTAACCCGAGCCCAGGCTGATTGATTGCATTGTCTTCATCAACGTCACTCTTGGACTTCCTCCCTTCTGCCTCCCTTGTTGGCTTGCTCATTTGGTTCGGGTCTGCCTGGTGTTGTGCGTGTCTGTATCTCCCTGCAGTCATCCTCACCGGGAAGATCTGACAGTCGCTGCTGAGATACCCACTTCAATCCATCCACCTTCCAGCATCACGGTCAAGATGGTAAGTGGTTACGCTACTCCAACCAACAACGCCCAACACGCGACTTCTCGCGACTTCTCGCGACTCTTGAAGCTGCCAGCAACCCATGCTAACCCAATCCCACACCAAAACAGCCACCCAGCCAGGATGTAAGACCGGACGACCCGCCCGACATGCCCATCTCCCTGCGCCTCAAATACGGCGTCCACACAATCTTTCTCCTCGTCGACCCCGTCGCACCCTTCTCCGAGCTCACCGCAGAGCTCATCTCGGCCCTCCAGGACCGCTACCCGCGCGGCCTGCGGCCCGACGTCGGCGAGCCGCCCACGCCTCTCCCTACAGAAGACGCCGGCTACCACGTCGCCTACGGCGTCATGAGGGACCCCCACGACGACTCCAAGGGCTGGAAGGACCTCCGCATCCGCGGCGGCGAGACCCCCGCCAGCATGGGCCTCCGGAACAACGACCCCGTCGCGTTCGTCGTCCGCAACACCGACGACGCCGACGAGACGCCCGTGTTTGTCGTCAGGATCCCTAAGCTTGACCAGGATGACGACGAGGAGGACCTGGATGAGGACGAGCTTGCCGACGGCATGGATGAGGATGACGAGGGGTCTTAGGTAGTCATCTGTCGCTCACGTTCGAGCCATCTTGGCGAGATCCCCCGGTGGATCATTCTCTAACTGCAGCGACAGTCCTTCCTACCTACACGCTGGCCTGGAGAGGAAACAGCCGAGGGGGGGGGAGGGTTCAAGGCCACCAACGGTTGTGTTGCTCTATACGACCGCTTTACGGCAGACCTCAGGCTGTATGGAGGTGATTTCTGGAGGTTGTGTCTGCTTGCACTTCCGACGTGAATCATCGAGGCTAGCGCGTTGGGCACGTATGTGGAATCGACTATCCCGGGTCGTGGGTTGTGCAGAAACATGGCTGACTGTCGCATAGGAGAACCCGACGTTGATGTGTGTGGCAAAGAGATTGAGGTCTATTCGCATGACATGACCACTGAGAATGTTTGGCATCATCGGTAATAGATACGCGGGTTGTGTTTGGCTGCCTTACTGCACCAGTCCAGTGTGTTGGTCTTTTTAGGTGCTAAGAATCGCCGTTATCGACTACCAACGCAGTGAGTACTACCGGATTGTGCCGGTCTCTCGTGCGTTCTGGTAAAACTGGTCGATTATTCCTAGTCACTTCGCAGGAATGGATGACCACGTGGAAGATCACGGTCGCTGAGTGTCATAACATCAGTCACACCTGGGACAAAGTCAAATCGACCCGGAAACAATGCACTGGGGAGAATGAAATGTCATCACATACACCACTTCCGTACACCGCCACATCTTGAAAAGGTCCCATGGTGTCAACAGAGCCGTGTGGCTCGTCCGCGTCTGGTGTGTTGTCTCATAGTCCTCTAGGCTGCCCGGTTGGTGATCTACCGACGGACGAGAAGGAGGAACCCCTACAGGTCACAACGGCTGTAGCAAACCACAGGTATTTGCATGGTAGTGCTTTGTCTGAGAAGAACGGTTCTTCAGCAGCGCATAATTAGGAACAGACGAGCTCAGCCCGAGGCTGTATGGTGCGCCTACATGTGAAGCCCAGCAGGGCCGCTGGCCCCACGCAAGACGACACCACGCTTCCGAGCAATAATGATTGCTCTTGAAGTACTCCCACATGTGTAGCTTGCTAAGATGTCGTCCCACGGCAACGAAAGCCTCCCTCACCAATAATAGCATGGCACAAGAAAGCTCAGCCTCATTGCAGCAACAACATCCTCAGACCGGGTCCGGCCTGGATCACCGAATCTACATGTAACCCAAGTCCGGGCTTGCACACACGGATTTACTCTAAAAAGAGTCCAGGGGAATCGTTGAAAACGGACAGTTGGCAAAATAATTCAATTTTGTTGGTCCCGATAAAAACACAGCGTTATTTATGCACCGAATACTGATGCTAACCGGACGCCCCGCGACGCCTATCCCAAATATTAATCCAACTCCTACCTTCTCAGCCAATGTTGGACATCAAGGCCTGCCTCTGAACCTGCTCCCTCTTCGCCTTCTTCCGGGCCGCGCTCTCCATCCAGGCACTGACGAGCACACCTCCGATACCTAGGAACGCTGCAATACCCATAACGGAACCAACGATAGCGCTCGACAGCCCGATGTCGATGCCCGCATAGGAGCTCGTCGAGGTGGCCGCCGCCGCCGACGTCGTCGACGTGGCGCCGCTTGTGGTGGTGCTGTCTGCCGCTTGTCGCTTGTCGTTGCCGCGGGCGTGGAACCTCCTCCGCCGGAGCTCGCCCTCCGAGCCGGGCTGCTGCGCGCTGTTGTCCTCCTGCTGGCACATCCTTGTGATCCACAGCGCGGTCTCATCCGCCTCGTCCCCCGCGCAGCCGGCCGCGTCCAGGCACGCCGCCAGGAGCCGTGCGTCTACCATCTCGGCGGCCATGCAGCTCGTCATGACCGAGGGGTCCGCGCACGAGAGGTCTGAGACGACGTTGGCTAGGCATGCTGTGCCCGTCGATGGCGAGGGGCCCGCCGTCGCTGAACTTGTCAGGAGGGCCGCGATGGCCGCGCCGGCGAGGCGTTGTCGTAGGCTGTGGGAACCCATTGTGTGTGTGTGTGTGTGTGTGTGTGTTTGTGTAGTTTGAGTTGCTGTGATGGGGATCCCGTGAGGCCCACTGGTATCGGGATAGCCGGAGGAAAGTCTGATTTCAGGTGTTGTTAAGGAGCTATCGGTCGACTTGATTGTTGTGTCTGTTGAAACGCTTGCAGCAACTTTGGTAAAGCAAACGAGTGACGAACGATTGAGCAAGCAGGGAACTAGAGGGGGTATCACGGTGACGATGAGTAAAACAGAGATGTGAAGTGTACGTAGCAGCCAGACCACCACAGGCTGACAAGATGCTTTTATTAAACCTTCCCCCTCCCCCAGGGTGCCTGTCATGGTCCGACAGGTGAGGACCTAGTCAGCTCAGCTCGTGTCACTCGACGCCCGCCGGACAAACAAGGAACGTCCACCACTGCAGACAAGCCCCGGTCCCGGGGTCCGCCTCCACTGCGCAAAGAATATAAAATGAACGACAGAGCCACAGCTATATGGCCCATCTTCAAGAGCTGCGCCCCTACTCAGCGTGCGAATCCTGGCTGTGCCGGCGTGACGGCAGGAAGAGGCTCCAGCTGAGTGCTCAGAGCGGAGTTAGGATCGGACCCTCGGTCGCCGGGGGACAAGATGAAGTCCGGGAACCCGCATTTGCATTGTACACTGCAGGTTAGGCTTTTCTCCCACCACCCCCCGGTTATGATTAGGGTCCGAGATCTCCGCAACGGGGGGCTTTGAGCTGGACGACGCGCACGACTGTCTCCACCTTGTCCCCCACAATGCCGGGCTGACGGTTCGTCATTGGCAGGGGACTGCTTGATGCTGATGTTGCGTGCGGCGCCACCGTGCGTTGCGTGGATCGACAAATTTGACTTTGGACTTTGACCGTGGCCTGAGGATGAGAATCCCGCATGGGGGATTTAGTAGTAGCGGTGGTGCTTGAATCGCATGGGGAATTGGGAGGCAGTCCTACGCCCTTCTAAGTTATGGTGATTCTGGCGACCTGTTCCTGTCCAGGTTTGTGATCAAGCATCAAGGCCTTGGAGCATTGACTGCTACTCTCGGCAATTTCCGCACATGGAATAATATGGAAGGAAAAAAGTCCCTTCCAACTACTGTATAGGCGCGATTGAGGGTTTCTCACGGCCAGAGGTGCCAGTTCTCAAAAACGCCTGACTCGCCACAATAACCACACTCGCTGGGGCTTTGACTTGACAGCCCCGGCCTGGCCTAGATCCAAGCCTCAAGCCAGACTGGTTCGGGCCTGCCAAGAATGCTGTGCTGGCTTGATGGCCATGACTGCGTGGCAGCACGACAGCGAGGCAACTGGCTGTGGTCGAGAGGCTGGGATCGTTCCGAGGTGTGTCGGACTTCCCGGAAGAACCGAATTGGTCTCGTAATCCGACACCCAAGTTGTCGATCGCCAGGTCGCCAAAGCCAGACAGTCGGCCTTGAAATCCACTTGCTCAAGCTATTTTGTTTGGTCTTTTGGCTACCTAGGTACAAACGCTCAGTCCATAGTCCCGATCTTCAAACAACCCTGCGAAGGTCAAACTAGCAGCATTGCCCTGGACAAGGAACTCGCGTTCTGGGCTAAAGCTGAAATCTTGCGGCCTAGGCCTAACCCTAACTCATATTTGAAAATCACATCTCACTTCAGCCCTATCAAGGCACATCACATCGTGGGGGACGGGAGGCGACAATCTCAGCAGAATGACATTTCAAATTGGAAAACTTTGTAATGACGGTCCATACATGAACCAGTATTCCTCGTCAAATTGCTGGCGCTGAACCAACTGCAGGCCTCTTACTTGACTAGTCATGGTGGCAATCTGAGCTGGTGATCATCAACAGAGCGATTCAGCTGCCGAGATCCCGGGGGCTATCGCCCGATCTATCATATGAAGTCACTAGAGCCCCTTGATATATTACCTAGTTTCTAATTTCGGATGGCCAAAGCAGAAAGACGACATGCAAGCTTGCTTGCTTGTGGGCAGCCACGGGCCGGGTCTCGAGAATAGCTAGGGGTGTGGGGCAAAGGCACAGTTACGACGGTCGAAACAGACATGATGTCGAGATTGTGGTCACCCGAACAGTGTGTGTATATGTTTACTGAAAAGAGATATCGAAATAGACTGAGAAAGATGCCGAATTGTAGTGAGTGGTCCGGCTGGGACACACGAAGGAAGGTAGTAGGGTGGTACCAAAGAGTCCAGATGTCTCCAGGGCTCATAGCGTTGTCAAGAATGAAGACGGTTTGGGACCCAAGATAGTGCACAAGTAAATGATTGGAACGCGTTATCCATCTGTCAGGCTGAGAAGATTGCTTAATATATCTGTATGAATGCATATTTAGACCGTACTCTGATGCGTTACACGCTCTTCCAGTTGCTATATGAAGCGCCAGGATGTATCATTCGGCCAAGTGTCGTAAAAGTGGACAAAATGTGAGCATACAGGCGTATTTGAATGTTCTTCTCATCGACATGGACCAACCGAGTTGATTGGAGCATCAGTCAATCTCGGTTCGGTTAAGAGCGAGGCTTGAGATGGGAAGCGACAAGATTACAGAGCAATTGTTGACTTCGCGCTCGAGGTACGAGCCGATGGGCAGTCCAAAAGCCGAGAAGACGACGAACAGACAAATACACAGTTGAACAAATAATACAATGTGGCCGAAACCGATGGAGAGAATGGCCGCACTGCCAGGTTACGGAACATACGATCTGAGATACCTGAGCACATGTCTAGCCTATTCGTATTTCGTATATCCCATACTGGTGCCATGGCAACCCCGCGTTTTCCAATGCAACGGTCGCTTAGGCATGTGTCTGTACAAAATGAGCTGGTAGCGGCTCGGCCCTTCTCAAGAGGTCCACCTCGTTCCCGGGGTAAGTAGCCAATGAGACTCGCCTCAATACGCGTACCCGTATAGACGATCACTGACGACATGGGATGGCAGGAAGCTGCCAGCTGATTCCCAGTACAACGTGGTTGCATCGAATAGACACATGAATTCTACGGATCAATATTCATCAGAATTACTTGGCAGGTCACAATGATCGGCAAAATCTCCGCATTCTGGGATCATGCCAGGAACAAGAGTTCATCTCACCGTGTTCCTTGCATCCGGATGTCGTCTTAGCGTTACTTCGTGAGTACCGTCACCTCATCACGCTTTGACGCGGGGGATATTGGATTGGACATGGACGAACGGCTTCCTCGACCCGAGCTCAACATTTGAACGACAATCGGCTCCCGGGGAGCGTGAATTTCACTGTTTCTAGTAGTATAAAGGTCCGCAGCCCCGCCGCCTGACGTACAAAATCTGCCAGCTCCCCAGGCCGTGGGTAAGCTCCACTACGTATATAGCTGAGAGTCACACGGGAATTGGCAAAATGGTCAGCACAATGAATGCATCGCTTCTACTGTTCCTTTTGACACATGCTGCAGCTGCTGCCACTGCAGCTGGGTACCGCCTCGGAAAGAATGGTCAGTAACCTCTCAGCCTGCAAAGTGCATACTATGAGAACCAAAAAGCCCTAAACTGCAAATCAGGAACTCGGGATTGGGATACTGCCGTGGGGCTGGCCCAGGGCCTCATATCACAGTTGACTTTGGACGAAAAGGTCATGGTGATCACTGGAAACGGCTCCGCGGGTTACTGCATTGGCAATATTGCACCTATCCCTCGCCTGAACTTCACGGGGATTTGCATGCTTGACGGGCCCAATGCGGTCAACCGGGCCGATCTAGTCAGCGTCTTCCCATCGGGGATCACAGCTGCCGCCACGTGGGACCGAGAGCTGATATACCACCGCGGATATGCCCTGGGGCAGGAGTTTAAAGCCAAAGGCGCCGACGTTGCTCTTGGGTAAGGATGGCTCCCTGCCTCTGTCTTGAGGAAGAACCGTCTGAGCTAACGTAGTGTAGCCCAACGACGGGTCCTATGGGACGTCACGCTCTCGGTGGGCGAAACTGGGAGGGCTTTGGCCCAGACCCATACCTCGCCGGCGTCTCAACTGCAGAAAGCGTCCTCGGCCTGCAGGATGCCGGCGTGCAGACCAGTACCAAGCACTTCATCGGCAACGAGCAAGAGACGCAGCGCTCTTCCACTACAAGCCCCGACGGGACTCGCACCGAGGGGATATCCTCGAACATCGACGACAGGACGATCCACGAGCTCTACATGTGGCCGTTCGCCGACGCGGTCAAGAGCGGCACCAGTTCGGTGATGTGTTCATACAACCGTCTCAACCAGGAATACTCCTGTGAGAACAGCTACCTCATGCAGAATTTGCTCCGCGACGAGCTTGGGTTCAAGGGCTTTGTAGTATCGGACTGGTTCGCCACCCACTCAACCGCAAAGTCTATCAATGCTGGCCTGGACCTCGAGATGCCCGGCTACCTCCCTACAGCCTATCCAGGCAGCGAGCGCTGGTTCGGCGAGAACGTGCTGAATGCCGTCCGCAACGGGTCTGTAACCGAAGCGAGGGTGGATGAGATGATGCGAAATATCCTCACCCCATATTATTACTTCGAGCAGGATGCCGCCGACTACCCATCCCCAGACGATTCGTTCCCGTACCTTCTGATCGTCCAGGAGGCGTCCATCGAGCTGGGCCGTCAGATCGGCCTGATCCCCGACGACCCTGATTTTGTCTTCCCCCGCGGCCGTGACGTCCGAGGAGACCACGCCAAGCTCATCCGCGAGATGGGCGCCGCCGGCACCGTGCTCCTCAAGAACAACAACACACTTCCCCTGAAGAGCCCCAAGGTGATCGGCGTGTTCGGGAACGACGCCGGCGACTTCACCAACGGCTTCTTCCGGCCCTCTGAGGCACCAGAGAGCGTCAACACCGGGACCATGGTCATCGGGGGCGGCTCGGGCACCGGCCGCCCGTCCTACGTGGTCTCCCCGCTGGACGCCATCAAGTCAAAAGCCAGCGAGGTCGGAGCCCAGGTCATGTACATCACCCACAACGAGGCCATCGCGAACAAGGACTTCAGGGGCATATACCCGCCGCCCGAGCTCTGCCTCGTGTTCCAGCAGACCTTCGCCAGCGAGAGCTTCGACCGCGCCGCGTTCGAGCTCGACGGGAACTCCACGGCCGTCATCGACAACGTGGCCGATTTCTGCGGCAACACCGTCGTGGTCACCCACTCGGGCGGCGTCAACACCATGCCGTGGGCCGGCAACCCCAAGATCGGGGCCATCCTCGCCGCCCACTACCCCGGCCAGGAGAGCGGGAACTCCATCGCCGACCTGCTCTGGGGCGACGTCGCCCCGTCCGGCCGCCTGCCGTACACCATCCCGCGCTCCGCCGAGGACGCGGGGCCGGCAGTCGTCAACCTCACCTCGCCTGTGACCGACCCCCGCGGCTGGCAGGCGGACTTCTCCGAGGGGCTGCTCGTCGACTACCGCCACTACGACGCGCAGGGGATCGAACCGCTGTACGAGTTCGGTTTCGGTCTTACGTATACGACGTTTGAGATCGACAGCCAGGGCACTTCCGTCGCGCTGGCCGCGGGCGCGGTGGCCGCCAGGCCCGACTCCAACAGCACCGTCCAGCCAGGCGGGCTCCCCGAGCTCTGGGAGGACGTTGTCGTCGTCAGGACCAGTGTCGCGAACACGGGTGACCGAGCCGCGCACGCCGTGCCGCAGATCTACCTGTCGTTTCCTGATGGCGCGCCGGAGGGCACGCCGGTTAAGGTGTTGCGTGGTTTCGATAAGGTGTTTGTCGAGGCTGGGGCATCTGCGGACGTCGAGTTCCGTCTACAGCGGAGGGATGTGAGTTACTGGGATACTGATGATCAAGCGTGGGTCATCCCTGAGGGCGACTTTGTTTTCCTGGTCGGGTTCAGCTCGAGGGATCTGCCTGTAGAGAAGACATTTGCGGTGCTGGCTTCTGGACGCGGAGGACTGGACCATCGGTTCCTGATCAATTAGCCTTGGAGAAGGGGCAGTGTCTTCCAGGCCGGACTGGAGGCTCATGGGAGAGGTGAAGGGGACGACATCCTGCCCCCCCCTCAAGCAAACAAGTCCCTTCACTGGCAGTACCCTGGTATGGATCTGTCACTGGCCTGGACGGCAACCTTGGAGCATCTGTCTTCACTGAGAGCCTTCCTGCATGCAAAAGCGCGGCTTGCTCGCAGACACAGAGGTGAATGCTGGATTCACCTTCCAACCCCCTGCCCCGTGCCCCCTCGACCTGCTTTGGCTGCCTTTAATCAACGCAGCGTCGTCGTTCGCAACAACAAACAAACCAACGACACCAACCACATCCCTCTCAGCAGCAACTCAGCAGCTGCGACAACAAGAACTTCGACCTCACTTCCAAATCCTTCATCATCACCATCAACGGCCAGCAAGATGCCTTCGACTTCCGCTCAACTCCGCAACACCTTGCGCGCCCACCTCCCTCGCGCTGGCTTCCTCTGGCCAGACCGCGACACTCTGATGTCGCGTGAGCGTCAGGACATCGCGGTTCGTAATTGAATGACCCCCACGAGATCCTCACCCCAATCGTGCGCGACATTCCACTAACGCAAGACCGCTCTGCCAGGTCCGCAATGCCCTCCGTGACCACGGAGGCGTCACCCTGCTTCGCGCCGATGCGCGCGAGAACGCTCGTCGCGATGTCGAGCTGGCCTTTGTGGCCATGTTCGAGACTTCTCGTGCGGACGCCGCCGCCGGCCGCACCGACGATTTCGACACCGCTCTGGACTGGTTGGGTGACCTGCGCCGTCGTCTGTCGTGGGGAGAGTTCATCGATGAGGATACCTTCATCGATCTGTTCCTCCGGATCGGCCGCGCGCGTAAAGACTGGCACGCCAAACCCCGCGAGCCCTTCAACGTAAGCCGACCCTGCCTACACATACATTGCCTCGTACATTCACGTCGCTCTTCCTGAAAGAAACCTGTAACTAGTTGCTGACCTGGTCTGTTGAATACTCTTAGATCAAGGAGCACGGCGCCCTCGCGCACGCCGTTGACGCGTTCTACGCCGCCGCTAGTGACGAGTGGCTAGACGCCGACGAGGAGCTGTTCCGCGGTGTGTTGCCTCCGGCGATCGAGCCCGTTCGGAAGGCGACGGGGTCAGCGCCCCAAACTCAGGGCACGGGCGCTGACGAGGACATCGAGATGGGCGGCGGTCCGGTTGAGGAGGTGCGCGAGCGCCTCGCTCGCATCGAAATTGGGGAGGATGAGGACATCGAGATGGAGGATTAGTGATACATAGATCAGAGGGCACACCCAAGACCCCTCGTATTGAATGACCAAGTTGATACTGAGTATTTGATCTCCAAGTTGCCTGGTGTGGCACCTGGGTGTATCAAGAACGCACCTCTAGGTTGTCTTCAACTCGAAACCTAAATGTCCTCGCTGCTGGGAGGTGTGGTCAGCGCCTACCTTTATGTTGGTGTGGCCCCGGGTCCAATTCCTTGAAAAAGTCGATTACCACGGATCGAAATCAACTTCGAAAGTTCATAGACTTCTTTTGTATTCCAATAACAGCACCCAAGCGGAAGGGCCTTGCAAAGCTGAGAGTGGGTACTGGTCTTCTGAAGGTGGAACACAACTGCGTGGTCCTGAGCAGCTCATAGAGAGGTGGTCCGAAGTTCCAGATCAATTTTGAGTGAAGCAGATTTCACGCTTGAGCCCATCACCTGGCCTGGGAAACAATAGAAAACATTAGAAGGGTAGTCAAAAGGGTAGTCAAAAGGAGCAGCTTGCTTGGGGGAGGGGTTGGTAGGAGAGGCACCCCTGTCGAACTCGTTTGCGCCAGTGGGCTGCCTTGAAAAGCTGGCCCAACTGTATATTTTTAACTAAACACAAGGCAACTTGGCGCAGCGGCCAAGGGGAGCGACTTTGCTCTCAGGCGAGAAATTGGAGGGTGGCCGTTCCTAATCGAGCGGTCCATTCACCAGTCTCTCGTTGTGCGATACCAGACACAGCCCGACGTCATAGTAGTTGATCCGACGGCTGTGCTCTGGCTGGCGGCCACATCATGGATAAATAGCCGGAGTATGAGGTGTTACTGATGCCTCCAAGGGTTCGCAAACTTCTGGTTGTGGTCAACAGTGCCGCATAGTCGAGGGGTCTTGTGACAGCTTCCAGCCAGTCAACTGGTTGGTTCTCAATTAAGAAGCATTATTTTTTTTGCCCTCCTCCTCTCCAAAGTTCTTTCTTCCTTGAACTTGTCTCTTGCATACTGAAGACTAGAAGAAGCTGTCAGTTTATCTTTGAACCAATTGCGTATCCTCATCGGGGATGTCTCAGGTGTCAACCTCTGTTCTAGATCTGCATGGATTGAAGTGACGTCTAGATGTTGGGAGACGGCCATTGCCATTCACTCAATGTTTCCCACTCACCAGCACGTGGGTTCAATTCCTGCTTGAACCGATTTGTTTTTCTCTTTTAATTGACCCTGTACCCTCCCCCCCTCCCCCCTCCCTCTTCCCCCCTCCACCCGTCCTCCTTCTCTTGAACTCTAAGGTTTACTTACCCTCTCTAACTAACACACTGCAGGCAGCCTTGCCTGAGTTTCCACCAGAGAATCCTGCAGCCGGAGGCTTGAAGCAACAACCACAGCTCTCGCACACGCGCTGGCCTGCATCGGCACAGTATCCTGTATCGTCACCGCCGAACGCGTCGTCGACTTCCTCCTCTCCCACCTCCTCACCGAGCCAAAGCCCCTCGAGGCCTACCAGCAGCCTGACCCACACAGACATACACATTCATCACGGGCGCCAGCGCGGGCATCGGCTATGGCATCGGCCAGGGCCTCGTCAAGAACGGGCTGCCGGTCATCCTGCTGGGCAACAAGGCGCAGGAATGAGCCGATGCGGCGGCGAGGCTGGCGGCGCAGGTGCCGCCCGAGTAACCTAGACAGCAACCAGGTGGCCGCAGTTCGTCAGGACCATCGTCATGAAAGCGCAGATTGCCACGCTGAACGAGACGAAGGACGCACTGCGCGCGACTGACTGTCATCGACGGGGGCATCGGCGTGTCGATCCTCGTCAACAACGTCGGGTCCGTGCCGATCGCGCTGCCACCGTGGCGCGAGCTGGCACCCTACACCGTCGGGGAGGTCGGCTGCGTGATGGAACTGAAGACGCGGTTCTTGGCGAGACTGGCGGCGCTGATGGTCCCTTTGCTGACGCAGAACGGCTCCGGGGTCGATGGGCACGACATGTCCTTCGGGACACACCGGTGTTTGCTCACCATCAACTTGAGCTCCGCTGATGCTGTTGGGATGCCGTGGATGGTCATGTGTGGCGTGAGCAAGGCCTTCATCCTTGCTTTCAATCGTGGCTTGTTCAGGGAGCTGAAATTGAGTGTGGTCACGACTCGGACACAAGGTCGTCGGGTAACAACAAATCACTCGAGCCTGAGGCACAGGACAAGATGCTAATAGGACGACAATCAGTTTGTTTTTACTTCTGCATGCATGAATAAATCGTCTTGTTTCTAATCCCCAGATATATAGAATGCATTGTGGCGCCTTTGTACAGTAGCAAACGCTCGAGACCTAGCATCTTTTAAAGACGAAAGAAAGAAACAAGAAGACGCGATGATATTGAGATAAAAAAAGCAGAGAATACAACAGCGCATCAACAAAATCCATACTCCGAGTTACATTCCGAGGAACTGATTAAGCACATACTTCTGACAGGGGGACGGTCCAGACCCCTATGAAGAGCATTAACCGGTTTGTTATTGACGTTCTGAATTGTCTATCACGGCACTTAATGAAGACAAAAACAACCATAGCGAATGCCCCTGCACTGGCGCAATGGTCACATCCCGGTCCCGTGCCCAAGATGTGATGAACCGGCTACTTTATTTAAGCGTCTTCCTCACCAGCAGCAACCTCCTCCTCCTCCTCCTGCTCCTCCTGGGGGTCCTTGGTCTTGCGGGTGTCAAGCTCGTAGCCCTCAGCATCAAATTGCTCCTCAGCTGCCCTGGTGTCCAGCTCATACCCATCAGCATCGAGCTGCTCCTCCTCGGCCGACCTGGTGTCGAGCTCATATCCCTCGGCATCGAACTCCTCGTCAGCGGCCCTGGTGTCGAGCTCGTATCCGTCGGCGTCCAGCTCCTCCTCCTCAGCGGCGCGCGCAAGAGGTGCGGGGAGAGCGGCGGGCCTAAAAAGCCGGGAGAGTCAGTACGGGGTGATACTTGTTGCTGGGAGGCCACATTGGCTTACAGGGCACCCTGAGCGGCGGCGGCATCCTCGGGGCTCGAGTCCTGAAGGGCAGCCAGGATGCTGGCGATGTCGTCCTGGCGGGCCTCGAGGTTCTGGCTCATGGGGGCGGCCACGGCCAGGGCGGCAAGGGACATGATGATTGCGCAACGCATATTGAAGGTTTTTTGTTGGACAAAAGAGCACAGCTCAGTAAGATATATGTGATCGAGTAGAAGAGGTATCGAAATAGAATTAATATTTACACGGAAGAGATCGCTGCGGAGGAAATATGAGGGTGTTAGGACGAGGGGCGCGTCGCCTTTTCAACGAAATTTTGAGCTCAGTATGAAAGCATGGGCAACTCATCACAGAGTCTCTCGCCTACGAGTCTCGTTTCATTTCCATCCAGAGATTTTGGCAGAGAGTCCGACGGGCACTATAGAACGGATGCCGAGCAGGCGGTAGACACGAGATGCGATTTGAGCCCGGCTTGGCTAAGCTGCTCCACCTTGGCGGCCGGCGGCCGGGGTCGAAACACGGGGTGGTCTCGGGTCGCCAAGGCCTGTGACGAGCCAATTGGGACGATTTCACGACTTGTTTGAACGTTCGGACGACCTTGACGTTCCTGGGCATTCCAACGCCACGTCCAGCGGTTCGGCGAGACACCCGAGGCGTCGAGGCGTCGCAGACTTCAGCACACTCTGGTGGAGTGGAATCGACCTACGTATGCAGTGTTTATGTGGTGTATTATGTCGTGGTGGCGGGCTGGATGACCATGACGGGATCGAGGCCGCACCTACGCCTCGATTCAAGCTTGAACCTCCCCACAGCATCCTAGCGCTCGTTTCCGTTACTCCATCGGTAGCATCGAGCGTCCCATGCTTGGCTCTGATTGGCCTCGTGTGTGTTTTGGACCCTGGGTTAGGCCGGCGGGAGCTGCCGGATTCGCGCAGGGAGTCGTCGATCACAAAGTGTGCAGCCTTGAACGGATCTCTGAAACTCCTCGGATTTTGAGTGGCGCTCATCGGTTCTGCAGGTGACGAGAAGACCTAGAACGAGTTCTGCTTTCTCGCATGCGTCATAAAATGAGCCCTGATATGCATCATCGCTGTCAATAACATCATTCTCTTTGGGACCTAGCCGTTCACACCTCCGGCAACATCGCCACACTATCATGGCACTTTTAAGTTTCTAATTACAGATTCATCTTGTGACGATTCGCCGCCGACACCCCGAAATTGAATATGTACTAACAACGTCACCGGAATGTTCGAGCTGTTCACTACAACTTACGACCACAAGTATGAGCGAGATCAGTCCTATTCTACAGTGATCTCTCTGAAAGCCCCAGTGCCTTCAATGTTCTCTTGCCGATATCGTTAATGTGGACGAAATAGGCGGGATAAACAATTCGAGCCCGTTTCCTTCCGCTTCACATTGTAAGTGGCCTATGCCTTAAGTCGTACTCACCAATTTGCTCAAGGCCATTGCATCCCGCCTGTGTTTCGAGCCATTTGGACACACATCCTCGCCGTCAGCCTCCCAAACATGCATCGTAGCAAATCAGCCTTGTGAAGGCTTAGCCTCGCACGCACCCCAATCCCCCCGGCACCTGTGGAAATGGACGGTGATACTTTCAGAAGATAGGATTCGCGGATAAAATTCCCGAACTTAAATACATGTGCACACATGAGCAGAATTTAATTTGGTGATCATCAAACTCTATAATCTAAGATCAGATGGGAGTGAGAAAAGCCAGTAAGACAGTTAGTTAGCCGTCGCCGGTCGAATCCAACTTGAGTCATGCATGCAGTAGTATCGTTTCTCCACGCTGATTGCTACTGACCGGAAGGAATACAAAGGGCTGCAGTAATGTTGACGTTGGTAGAAAGATAATTCGATGACGGATGTGGACTTTTCTCCCTTACTAAGGGCATGCTGCCCGAAATTCCCACAGATCACGGAGTAATGCAAGGTATCACAACTTTCACGTAGGCGCCTGCCAGGCGGTGAAGTAGTCGAAAACGAATTGATTGTCACATGCACACGGCGCTTGCTTGGGTCCTGGTCTCAAAACCCGGACTGTCTGACATTGAAGCAGCTGAAAGCTCTGCCACGACTCATGGCCACGATCATGCGCTCAATCCCGGAGTGACGGTCGAATCTTCCTGCAAACTCTTTCCGTAAAGCGCCGCCATACATATCAAGTCCTGCTCCTATTAAGGTGGCTTCCACGTTGGGAGCTCATTGCGGAACCTTTGGGTAACTTGAGACTCTTATTCCTCTTGGCTAGAACTAAAAGCAATGCAACTAGGACGTGTCGAAATAACCTTTCTTCATTATCAAGAAAGTCTATAGGTCCCACTGAGTAATTCAATTCGGATTCTGTAACCCTTTAACTCTGACCTGGATAATGAAACCGTATGTGTAGATGGACTGAACAATCCTAGCCTGGCCTTAGAGATTAACGGTGAGTTGATCCGTTTTCAAATTGACCAACGATCGCTATCGAGGCATTGAGAATATTAAACACAATTTCATCCAGAATTCCTGGCGTCCCACTCTGGTAGTTGGAGGTGAGAAGACGCCGATAGGCTCTGGCTTCATTGCTAAAGTCATTGTTGGCCTCGAAAACAACGTCTTTAGCATGGCGGACCCCTTCCATCTTGGAATTTTAGTACAGATGGTCATAGATCTTGCCGCCGCTTGGAACGGCCGCATGCCTTTTCCGTCAGTGTCTGAGTGAGGAAAGATAGTGCATCCGACAAGTTGAGCACCACGGCATGCGCCAATGGTGATTGGGGCAGTAACCACTATTTTTGCCGTCTCGGGATTGGAGGGAGGAGCTGTTTCGATGGGAGGTTTGGCGATGACGATCTCACTCTGAGGAAGACTCTCAAGATATTCCCCAGACGAGACAGGCTTGAGCAACCGAGTCCCTCCCAAGCAATCCTAGCTGTGTGCGCCTCAAACTTGTTTTCTCAGATTTTGAAGTGTGTTATATCGATGATGACGAGGCAAGCCCAAAATATTCTTGATTCCACCTGCTTGGACTTGCTGCACACGGCAAGCATGGATCACAAGAGCAACATGCGAGGATGCATCAATGTTGGACACCCAGAGTAACAGAACTGCATCGTGGCGTCAAAGGTAACAGCGAATGAACTCACATGAATTTAATCAGGTGATCTTATTGTACGGCAAGTTCGCGTCCATAGCGTGGCCATTTAGGCAGCGGATGTGGAGCCCCCTTGTTGAGTAGCAGGCAGCAGACACTAGTGACTACAGCCCCCTGCCAACAGCCGAAGACGTGCCTAGAAATTGATCAACGCCAAGAACACTCGGTGGATATTTGAACTTCACGGTCAGCATCCCAAGGTCCTCAGATTTTCCAGATGGCTTCGTGAGAAAGTACAACCTCTTGTGGTATATTGGCCCAGAAGTGATCCTCTCGTCGTTTGGATCCGTCATCATCAAATAAGATCATCTCATCACACAACTACACAGCTTTGAAACTACTCAGTATTAACTGAAGTACCTACGTACTAGGAAACCATGGCTGACCACCCTTCAACCTCAACATCGCATTCGACGTCTCGGGAACTGCCACACTTCTCCTTCTCGCTCTTTATCAAGCTCCCAGCTGAGCTCCAGCTTGACATCCTATCCCACTGTCAGAACAACGACCTCGTCTGCCTATCCCTCTCGTCGCATTATTTTCGCGATCTGACGCGCCCTCTAATCCCCAGCCGACCCAACCTATTACTTTACGACCAGACAGTGCCCCCCGGACAGATCGAATGCAAGTGCGGCGACAAAATCCCCGCCCATATGAAGGTCGCCCAGGACAGTCTTTCCCATCGGCAGCGGCGTCATGAGTACGCGTACGTCGGACAAAGTCACTACAGCAATGAATTATTGCCAGTTTGGGACTGGGCCCGCCCAGCTCGAGTTTTCCGGCACCAAGACGGGCATTTTTCGTGTCGTGGCTATCCCGCCGACCACCCTCTATGCCGCAAGCGAGGCTGCGATCACTGCTCTTGCACTACTTGTCCGCTCCACGTGAGGCTGAGGAGCTGGATGGGAGATCGGAAGTATTGCTTCCCGTGCCGCAAATTCACCGTGCGCATGCAGACCAAGAAGTACAAGGGGAGATGTGAGTGTAATTCCTGCAGGACCGCTCTGCTGATTTTCAATGTGGCCTTTCACTGACGCTTGAGGATTACCAGGCCTGCACGGCCGTGCTCCTGTCCGCCGTTCAGCAAATAACCACTGGACATACAAGAAGGGCCGGTCATATGGCAACCGCTGGTGGCGCCGCTGGGGGACTTGGACAGTTGAGAGCTGGGGGTATCCAGAAGGTGATAAGACGGCGGATGTTAGTAAAAGAAGGAATGCAAGAGTGGTGTAGAGCATTGTTGAGTGTGACCTGCAGCGGGACAGTGCCCAGGGTGGCCGGCTTCTGAGAGATGATATCACGTTCTAAATAGCATACCTAGGTATCCGTAGAGCAGTTTAGACCAATTTTTACTGCTTTCCAGTGCCAAGGATCATCAAAAGAGGGACCATACGCCCTCCGGATGCTCAACCACTTGTTGCTCCGTGGAGGAGGTTGGGCTATAGAAGGGCTTGATAGGTGTGAAAGGAAGACAGCTTCAGCTGAAATACATTGCAACGGAACTGAAGATGCCGGGTTGAACAAAAGTCATGACAAGTCTGGTCGTTGTCCAACCCTAAATCTCCATTCATGCGTAGTGGCCATGTTTCAAAGAGCAGTCCCGAACTCTCTATTCTCGTCTGAATTTAATCTTCCAAGATCGGTCTCAATCTCCTTCGCCTCATGCTCCGAGCTCACCGAGTACTCAGTCACTTTGCGAATGCCAGAATCCCTTCTCAATTCTGGAGAGACAAACCTTTCTTGGCTTGCGCAGTAATCTTCTAGCTGGGGACCCCCACTTGATATCCGAGTAGTTGTTTGGGATCGAGTGTGGCGATGATTGAAATGATCCGTTTCTAGAGTCTTGGAGTACGGATGCATGGGGTATTCCTTAGCTGTCGCGATGCCTGTGCTGCCATTGGACAGGCTCCTGAAGAATGGCCTCAAGCATGGGAGAGACGCCGCAATGATACCGACGTTGAGCTCGACGCTATCATCCGTCAAAAAGGGTTATGCTGATGAAGCTTTTCAGGCTCCTGATAGGGATCGGGATCCGGTGGAGGCGGGCGATGTTTCAGAAAAATGCTGCACTTACGTGGTCCATATCGTTAGCTCCGTCGCGTTCCAGAGGTTGTCCGTAGTGCTGCTGTAATTCTCGATGTATACGGTCTTGATGATTGCTGCAACAGAAGCGCTAATTCGCAGCAGAAGTTCAGACATCAGAACCGAACGCTCTCAATAGACGATCAAAGTCGCTGGCAAGTCAACCTACAGAATTCCCAAGCCCAGCAAAGCGACTAAAGATATCTTTCGCCTCATGTTGATCTGCAGCTTCCACAATACTGCTATCGGCAACGTGGCGAAGAATATGTCGCTGGTGATCGACACGACTAGACGAACGGCGTCAGACAAGATTGTGATGCGCCTGGGCAGATGGCAACGTTAGGGAGTCCATTAATACTTACCAGCACTAGCCCATCCAAGTGCATGTATCACCTCGACCGACCAGCAAGCCGTGTGAACCGAGTCATCCCAGATTACCCTGATATTCTCGCACTGGAGCAAGAGGGTAACGAAACAGGCAAGTGTCCAGGCGAGAATGAATGACATGGCGCCGTAGATGATCTTGCGGTGAATGAGATCAGGGGTGACGCGTAGTAGGAACAGACCAATTGAAACCTTTACCATGCAGGGTGCCCACAGAAAGACGACTTGGCCAATGTAGTTCAGCTTGAGTCCCATATGTATGGTTGCAGGTTCCAGGTACGCCGCGTGTCTGCCAGCACCATTTGCGACTTGACCCAGGGTGATGCCCATGCCCGCAAGTGAAAGTGCCTGGTGGAGCGTGTATCAGCACACGAGCAGTCCGAGATGCAAATCTCGTTGCTAGCGAGACTTTCATAGATGTCCCTCTGCAGTAATTTGTCAGATTATATCTCAGATTATATCTTACCATTGTTCCTATGATAACCCAGTCCTGTCCACAAAAGTAAGCGGCATACTCATACAATGATGTGCCGTTCAAAATGTCTGCACTCACATCTGCCCCAAACGACTTCAGTACCCGAAGTCGGCACCAAACACGGAGTGCTACTATCAGGAATGCTATGAGAGTCAGCGTCACAGAGACAGCTGTAAGGGACGGGCCCTTGTTCACATCAGGCTCATCGGCGCCTGGACGATTAGCTGCCCAGCCTGTGGACATTGTGTGCAGACCTGATCCTGTGCGATGCCCGCAGTTCATACAGAACCTTGTAATAAATATATTTCAAGGAGTCGTCGAAGCGCTATCCACCTCACCCCAGAGTAGCGAGGAGATGACATCAAGGCAAACAAAAAGAACAGCAGATTCTGTCCCTGAATACATGAAGGGCTTCATCATGCAGTTATATCCCGGTGAAGGATTTGATGCCGGCTGTACTGGCAGTTGTTGGTAATTTGGCACACCGGAGGACATACAGTGGATGCACAGTACGATGGGAGACGTCCTGCAATGTGGCGACTGCCCAGGTGCCATACCACGTTCATGCCAGTTGACTACCAGGAGCTCACTAACGTTACCAGGATCCTGTATAGAAGTTCAAGGAGGCAGGAGCAATGTCTTCCTTGGCAGATCCGACGGCACAGAAACGCTTTACTAGTGCAGTGTTAGAGATGCTACACATATACGAATGCATGAGTGAGCGATGATCCGCAATCCTACTGTCGTGTATCTAGGGGCACCCATCCCTTCTGCTCTTCCGATAGTAAACACAGATCCAGAACTCACGAGACTACCTCTGTCGGGCGACTCCAAATCACCCCATGCTGCAATTTCAAAATTTGCAAACCGGTCAGACAACTTCAACCGGGGCTCTTCCGGCGGATTTCCTCAAACCGTCTTGTGGCCCCGAGATATAATTCTCGGATGCTGCGATCTTTTAGCCCATTCGCCTGAGCGTGTGGCTTGGGACGCATCTGTTGGCTTTAAAAGTGTGGGGAAACCTACACCCCCGGCCTGCAGGTGCGCACTGTCAGGACTGTTGTTGGTGCCGGGATACCAATCCCCAGCACCACACTCGCAGCATGTCGATATCCACTTCGAGGGGTGAGTCCCCGAGGTGGACGGATATGATCTGCAGGGTCGAATGGCCTGCAGTATCTAGATAGTGACTGACTGTCTCGAATTCTTAGCGTGGTCTAGAACCCAGGCCGAAGTCGTAGAACATCCGGGATGCACAGTACTTAGGTATTAAGTAATTATACAGACAATGCACATGTCAGAGTGGCTTGGTGCTGAGAATTTGGGCATGGTAGGTAATTTTGCATCATCTACCCGAGGCTTCGCGCTTATGATAGACTCCCCTTCAAAGTCTCATTGGCTGTTCGTCATTATCTGGAGTTATCGTTGGATTGGCTGAAGCGGTTGTTGAAGTTCGTGACCGCTTGGCCAGGGTAACGTTGGATGTGGCACTTGAACCACTCGGCCGGAAGATCCCCGTAGATCACAGAAGCGACTCTCACATATCAGATCGGCAACACTGATGGTAGCCTTCAGTGGCCGGGGTTTAATGGCGCCGCCACGAGCCGACGCATGCTGGCGGGATGGGTGCAGGATGCCGAGGCGGGAAAATGCACCCATGGGCCCTTGTGCTTCAGGGGCTCGCCGAATTCCCGAGCCGGCTGGTAAAATTCGTAAGGAATTCAAGGTGTGAGAGAAGTCTAATCATGTGAGATATGATGGAAAGCTGGCCCTGCACTGTTGCATACCATTGTTAGATTGGAATGAGAACAACATCTGGTGGGGACACCTCAGGACACCAAACACAGTACGATTTGATATCGAGGTGGGTCTGGTTATTGTCTTCCCTGCACCTGCATCCAGAGGGACCTCCAAGTGGTGGATTCTTACTGTGGGTTTCCTGCACCTCATGCGGCGTCCAGGGAGCAATTAAAAAGGCCGGCCGTCTGCTGCAACCGATAATTTCCACAGGCCGCGTCCCGTTCTTCCCCTTTCAAGGTTGTCCAAGTCAAGCTGGGGTGTGTTTAGGACCAACTGTCCCAGTCCCTAATCTCCATAATGTCCGTCCTTCGATGCTTGATACTCGCTGCCCCCGCTGCAGCTGGGCTTGCAAGTGCATCAACTGCAAACTTTGGGGCAGACCACACCGAGTACGCACAATTGCAAGCCCTGGGAAAGGCATCCCACGACACTGCTCTCGGGGCCTTGGCTAGCAACAGCACGTGCAATGCAGGAAATGTCGTGGTCCGCCGATCCTGGTGAGTGACAGGGAACTACTTCCTCCCATTGCTCTCCTTTCCGCCGCTGACGAGGACTCGGATGGACCAGGCACGTGTTCAAGCGTCAGGAGCGTCTGGACTACATCAAAGCAGTCAAATGTCTTCAGTCCGCTGAGTCAATCACGCCTACGGAGCTAGGATCTGGCATCAAGACCAGATTTGACGATTTTGTTGCCACCCACATGAACCAGACCAATGACATCCACCTCACTGGTAACTTCTTGTCGTGGCACCGGTACTTCATCTGGCTCTATGAGAAGGCATTGCAAGAAGAGTGTGGATATGAAGGGACATTGCCGGTAAGTTACGTTTGCCAGCCAGCGGAACTCTCCCATCAATGATTCGCTTTCACTCCAGTCACATTCCGTGAACTGGGGTGCCTCTGCCGGAACCCTTTACTGAGCCGTCGATTTCAAAAGTACTGGGACTGGCCTTTGACTGCCATCACCGGATTGGAAGAGTCTCCCATTTACGATGGCAGTGATACATCTATGTCAGGCAATGGGGAGTATATTCCGAATCAACCCGACCTGTGGTCTATGGGCGTTACAATCCCAGCTGGAACTGGCGGCGGATGTGTGTTCTCAGGCCCCTTCGCCAACATGACCGTCAATTTGGGCCCGGTAAATCTCGCCTTGCCCGGCAACACGTCGACAGCGAACCCTCACAACGATACGGGTATTCTGTCCTGGAACCCACGCTGCCTTAAGCGTGACTTGACCGACTTCATCATCCAGAAGTATAACAGCGCAACTCAAGTATTGGATACAATCCTCCTCTGGGACACTATCTCCGACTTCCAACTGTCACTGCAGGGCATCAACATTACCACTGGAGCGAATTATTTCGGGCCTCACGGTGGCGGTAAGTCTGTCCATTTATCTGAAGTCGGTGAAGGAGGAATGCTAACCACGATGCAAAAACGAGCAGGTCACTGGTCGATGGGTGGTGATCCAGGCCGAGATCTCTTCGCCTCCCCAGCAGATCCGACCTTCTACCTCCATCATACGATGATCGATCGGGTCTGGTGGATGTGGCAGATGCAGTCCCCTGCGGCGCGCACATCTGGCCCCACGGCTGTCGGTGGTACAATCACGTTCTTGAACGATCCTCCAAGCCGAGATGCGAGTCTCGATGACTACAACAACTACGGTTTTGCAGCTGGACCTCCGAGGCAAATCGGAGAGTTGGTCAGCACGACGGCAGGGCCTTTCTGCTATGTGTACGAGTAATGATGGGCCCATATACAGCCGTCCCGATTGGTACTATGGAGGCACCTTCCAAGATGTCGCACAATTCTCGGGGCCTGGCCCTTGTGGTTGAAAGATAGCTTTGTTGTGTATAACTCACCTCGCATCCCAACAGCACAGGGCAGATCTAGAGCGGTCCAAAGCGCCACCACAGTGTTTTACACCTCAAGACGTCTGCTTCTAAGGACGCAGAGGCATTTTCAACCCACAAACCCAATTGTGCCAATGTTCTCACCTTTCATCCTGTTGTTGGAGCGCCGTGCGCCTTGGCCTGTAGACTGGGATTCTTTTGAGACGATTAAGATTGTAGGTGACAGCAATTGGCACGTGCAGTCCAGCAGCGCAGGGCCGAAGATTATACGAAGCTGCTGCGACGACTCATAGGACGGCAGCTCGGCGTTCCCAAGTATCGGCCGAAAGTGCCAGGGCAGCGGGCATCGACACAAGCTCTCATAGACAGGTACTTAAAAGGAGTCCAATTATTAACCAGGAGGTGCAGCCGATTCACATGCAGTATCTGGCATCACGCGAGCAATTTCTATATTCGTCTTGACTGTTCTTGGCAACGGTGATCTTGGCGGACTCGAGACAAGCTCAGTTAAGCATCTGAATTCGGGCTGAAACCGAGATAGGCAAGGCTCCCGTTTGACCCTCCCCGACCAAGATTATGCTCGACTCGACGTCCCTTGCAAATTCTAGTCCCTCCCCACCCGTCAACTTCAGGTCTAAATCAACAACTCTTTGCAGGGCTGTCCCGCGGCGGGTCCGAAATCAGCGCGCTCTCAGATGCAATGGGCAAGACAGCGCTGACAAGATGGGCTCCGGGATTACAAGGCCCAGGAAGACAATGTTTACTGCTTTTTCGTGCGGCTGACTCGAGGTCGTTGTTGGGAATAAAGACTCATCCCGTCCCAAACATGGCTGATCGGATCGTAGGTCTTGGTCTCCTCGCCTCAACCCTCTCTTTGCCTTGATTGATAGCGTCCGGTTGTGCGTGTTGACTGGGTATGCCCTGGAGGCCGACAAATGTTGTGAATTGATTTACCGCCGACCGCGTGACGCTCCTTAATTATGGATTTCGACCTTGAGGTGAACGAGAATGGGCTGGATTCCTTCGAGCTGATCTTTCCCTTGGCATATCGCATCGCTTTTATGGTCGTTTTTGGTAGGTCAATATTGTCTGCTGCTACGTTGAATTGAACAGATACTAACTGGCACTAGCGGTTTGGTCGTGGGCTCTTATAATACATTATCTGCATCGTCGTCATATCTGCGTCTTGACTCTCCTTAATTATCACAACCCTAGTGATAAACCAATTCACATCCTCATTTACCGCCTTGCCGGATTTCTCTCTTTGACGTTCATCGTATCACTCGGCCTGTTCTGGGTAATCACCCACAAAGACCCACAGCTCACTGTTTACTTCAACTGGCTTGCTCTCGTCAACCTCCTGATCCTGGGTAGTCTTTTACTCGCGCCACCTCACAATTTCGCAGCCTCCTCCGGTGGACGAGACCGACTCTTCGCCACTCTTCGAAGAATCAGCCTGGGCGGGCTCGCCCAACCGCACCATGGCAAGTTCGCCGACACCCTCCTGGCCGACGCCTTCATCTCCCTTGAGGTCATCTACGCCGATTTTTTCTTGTACTTGGCACTTTTGTTCTCGCAAACCAGCGAGTCCCCAGACGACCCGGAGTACCAGGCCGTCAGACACATCGTTAAGCCAATTGCCATGTCCATCCCGGTCTTCATCCGGTTTCGCCAGTGCTTGACCGAGTTTAGCCGCGCTGGCAACGTTCAGGCCTCGGAGGGCGTCTGGGGTGGCTGGCATCTTTTGAATGCGGGGAAGTACATCAGCTCAATCCCGTTCATCATCTTCGACATTTTGCGCCGGGAGGCAGAAGATACCCCGGCTGGCATTCCGGAGGACATTTTCTACTTGTGGCTGGTAAGCCACATGGTCAACACCGCATATAGCTTCTGGTGGGATATCTCACGGGACTGGGATTTGAAGCTACTGGTTACGGGCGGCTCTAAAGGGCATGCATTTGGATTGCGCAAGGACTTGATCCTGTTTGGCCCTGCTGGGTACTACCTGGCTATCTTCATGGATCTCGCGTTACGCAGTCTCTGGCTTTTGAAAATCAGCCCAGACGTAGATCGCATCCTGGACAAGTCCAGCTGGGTCTTTATTCTCACCTTACTCGAACTCATTCGACGAGGTATGTGGGCTCTTTTCCGCATGGAGGCGGAATGGGTCAGAATTCAGAAGACCGAGGGAAACGCAGCAGAAAATACCCTCAAGCCATCAAAAGACGAGGAAGCTGGCCTTTCTGAGGCGATCGTCAAGTCACCGAGCTATACTGTAATGTCTATGATGCAGTCTGCGCAGGCTAGTCCAAACGCGCCGCCTGCTTACAAGCCCCAGCAAGACCCGATCAGCATGCGACGGGCCTCGATCTGAGTGGGCGGGAAAAAATAAAACCAATCAAATATAAAATGCATGTCTCCTGTAGCTTCTAACTCAATTACTCACCGAGAACGAACTATGACTCTGGCAGTTCACATCAATCGATTAATGCAGACCACCTGCAAATTCGACGATGTGCCTATTATGGAAAGGCTTGCCAACAAATGGTTTCTCTATCATTCCGCATACGTCCGAAGCCTATCAATAAGCTTGCTGGCATTGCCTGAGTCTACACTCAACGGACGATGATGCAGTCCGCACGCCATGGTGATTCTTTGTACGCCGAGGTGCATAGGCAACGTGGCCGAGTGGTCTAAGGCGCTACGTTCAGGTGGAAACATCTTCGTAGTCTCGAAAGAGGCGTGCGTTCGAGTCGCACCGTTGTCAACACACATTATAATCGTCGCATGACTCGGTCTGCTTAAGCGACAATCACACCTGGACATCCTCGCAGCCTTGCCTGCGGGGCTGTTACAAGGCTTCCGCTGTATGTTGTTCTCAGTAGTGCTGTGGTTCTTTTTGGTTTTTGTGTATTAAAATTGCTGGACATTTAAGTGCCTGTCATTTATTATATGGGCGGGCTGTTGTGTCTTGGATGTGTATGTATTCACAATAGTATAGCTTGAAAGTACCCTAGGGTATATTATAACGTAGGAATAATCTACTGGGTAGAACGACCTAGCAGGCCGCATGATTCATGTTGCCACATCCCTTCCGCCTTCCGGTTTCACTATTTCAGATAGTACGGCCATAAGCATCGACAGGGCTGATAGGAACTTCCTCGATGTGGCGGTTCGAGCATATAAATGCTAGATTTCTAAGACGGGGGACTTGGAAATTGTGGTCTTTTGGCCTGGGAGTCTTTGGCGTGGCAGTCCACGGGTCCGTCTTACTCAACCTCCTAACGCAATGCCCCCCACCTCATAAATCAGGTTACGATTACTACCTCGACGTCAATTTACCGGACGTGGGGTGATGATTAGATTGATAGTCTAGGTTTATCTTGCCTTCTCAGCTGCATCATGACAACTCATACCTATGCGTCGTAGCAGGCATTTCTGCATGAGGAGTGGAGCCCTCTGCTTCCGGCCTTGTTGCCATCGTCCCCGACATCTCGGCCCTTGGAAAACCGTGACCCTCACCACCAAAGTCCGTCTTCCCATTACCTTCGTCGCCAGTGTTCTGCTGCAACGCTGCTCTCTTTGCCCTCCGACGTCTGAGAATGAACAATGCGGCCAGACCAATGAGAGCTATCCCTGCCACGCCCCCCACGACGCCGCCGGCTATAGCACCCGTGTTGCTGACAGAAGAAAAATCGGAGCCGTTGTCAGGGTCTCCTGTCTCTGTAGGACTCGTACCAGACCCGCCACTCACGTCAGATCCATTGTTGTCCGCCGTTGCAGCATCTGGAAAATTTTCGACAGCAAACGTATCAGCTAGGCCGGCGTACGAAAAGTCGGCCATGCGGTTGCTACAGAGTTAGAACAGGTGGTCAGCCATGTGACCAGAATTTATCGCACGTAGGAGTTTCCGCGGTACCAACTTGTTGTTGTAGTAGCTTTGCACTTCTGGTGCCAGGTTGTACAGCGTCCGATTGCTCACGTAGCCTCCCGAGGTGAAAGACATGATGCTGAGATCGAACAGGGCCAGTCCCTGGGCATTTGGATCCCTCGTGTTGAACACGCCGTCGTACGCAGACCCTTCCACATATAGACTCGAGTCGAGGCCACCAATCGTCAGCACCTGGCCACCTCCGATATGCTCGCACGTAAGGGCGTGGCGCGGCTGCGATGCCCGATAGTTCGCCTTGAACCAGTGGAAGGACGGCAGCGACAACACGAATAGTTCATCCAGGCTCATGGCCCTGCTGCCGAGGTCCCCGCCATATCCGGCGTACACGACGATCTCGTACGTCTTGTTGGACGAGGCCGCGCCTGTCATGCAGAACCCGACCCGGCCGTCGGGATAATTGCCGTGGTGGTCTGTTCGTACCAAGTCTCTGTGGCTAGGTCGTAGACCTGAACAGAGCTGAAAGACGAGAGCGGTCCTGATTCGCCAATCCGTCCCCCGCCCGCGACGAGGACGCCATTGGGCCCGAAGTTGGGGACATATTGCATTTGGCCACGTTGTATGTTTCCGCCTGTCGAGGTGCCGACCACTGTCGAGTTGCTTGCGACTCTGGTAGTGAAGTTGTATTTAAGTAGACCGCTGACCGGCGTCTGGGCCCAGTTGGTTTCTAGAAGATTACCTTTTGTTACAAACATAACATTAGTCACACCTCGTTACTGTTGCTTGATGGGGATGTGCAGGTTGGATCATCAACTCACCGCCCATGAAAAAACCAGCGCCGTTGCCACTTGCTACCGATCCTGTAACATGCCGGCGTTGCGTTGTGAAATAATCGTCTGCCGTGTCATTGAGATTGGTCCACGTACCCGTGGTTCCGTCCTCACTTGGTTCGAATGACCAAAGCCCTTGCTCTATTAACTGAGAATCGCCGTAACCCGAAGGCAGACCAGCGAATCCGATATACAACGTGTTGGACGCTGCATCAGCCCATATTCCACCACCCCTCAGATTCGGTGCTCGCGATGGCTTTTCGATTGACGTGTAGACTAAGTCGCCTGGTTCAAAGTCTTGTGACAGGTCGATTGATAATAAGTTTGATTCTGTCAACATATATTAGCAACATGTCACACGAGCAATAATTCCCAAGATCGAGGTATGGAATGACTTACGG